AGCTGAACGAGCCGAAAATTTACGATGCGTTTCGCTCACTGTAGTCTGGTAGTCAGAAATGTTGGCTGGCGTGTCTGACTATTTTTGAAAAGGGTTTGACATTTAGGGCACACGTCCAGCACTTAGCTACCTCCCCCCCTTCCAATCGACCATGACTGGGCAGCTGCTGGCCCCAGCTGGGAGCTCGTCGAGTGGAGGGGCGAGGGGAGGTCATGGCTGTAGCAAAATGACAAAACGATGTCTAAACGAGCGTTCAACGAGCAGCAAAGAAATTGACCAACAAAGGAAATACACGCATACATGTATAACGAATAAATAAAAATAAACCAAAAATTGTCCAACTTGCTGCCGGACACAGTGAAGCGGGCAGGCGAGTGGGCGAGTGGGCGAATGGGCGAATGGGCGGGGCTGGCACGACCCTTTAGTTGGACAGTGCTTAAGGGGCACACAGAGCTGCGCTTGCATGAGCAGCTCATAGAAAATTTGACACTAAAACGTAGGGACGAGTAAAAATAAAAAAAAAAAAAACGAAGCAAAATCTCTGCACAGTGGTGTGAAAGCATTTGGAATAACAGTTGTAAATAGTACAGAAATGTCGGAGTTAATCGAAAGTTGCTTTGGCCTGGGACAAATGCAGTTTAGACCACTGTGCCGGCTGGCCTGGAAGGGCCTGCTATACATATATTACACATGCTCCCATACACACACACACACATGTGTGTGTGCCGAAAAAGGTAAATGGCAGCGTCGGCCTTTTGTTAAATGTCTCAATTGATGCAAAGGCGGCACACGGTGCGTATGCTTAATGTTTTATGCGCCCAGAATGTAATAAAATGAAATAAAAATAAAAAACAAAAACAGAAAAGGAAACAAATAAATAAAGACACAAAGAAATAAGACACGAGCACAAGAAAACAGAAACCTGTACGAAATAAAACACTTAATTCATTCCCACAGCATTCCGAGCTGACCAAATGCCGCTTTAGTTTGCATGAGCATTCGCTCAGACATCTCGGGGAATGCCAGAGAGAGAGAGAGAGAGAGAGAGAGAGAGTGAGAGAGAGAGAGAGAGAGACAGCGAGAGATGTTTCGGATTTAAGACATGCCAAGTGAGCATTAGACGATATTAAGTTATTATCTTATTAAATTTAGGTCTTATGTATAACGAAACTTATTTAGTTTGATTGGAGTTGTGGCAAATGAATGAGGCTATAGCATGCAGGCGCAACTTCATTAAGATTTCTACATTGTTTTCTTCTACACTCGATGCCAGCTGCCTTTAAAGGCGAGGTCTTTCTTTCATAGACGAGAGTTGAGCACAAATTCATGTCGAATTGCTGAGAAGACAGTCGATCCTTTATATTGAATCGAGCTTCAACAGAAAATGGGCTGCATTAACTTGTATTATTTGTCGGCAGCTTCTGCAAAAATCTCTTTCATTGAGGATCTGAATACAAGCTCACATCCTGTTGGTTAGATAAGATAAGATTAATCAGACTATATTTCAGAGAATTCTCTTGTAGTAGTCTCCACAGAATTATTGTTGTCTATCGTAGATGAAGAGCAATGTAATGCTGCTTTGCTTAGAGGACACTAGAGTCCTGAAACTGAGATTGAAAGTTACATAAGACGAGGCTATTTATTGTAGAGACATTCTATGCCTGGTCTACAGAGATAGCTGTCATCCGCTCTCTCTCTCTCTCAGCATATTGATGATATCAGATATTAGTAGTCACATATTCGCAATGTCTTAGCTACAGATTGCTCTTCACTAGAAAGCAGCTGAAAAACTCACTGGGAAATGGAGCATAGAGAGCCTATTTCAATTGCATTGTTCAGCTTCCACGAAGCCCTTTTCTCACTCCCTCCCATATGCAATTCTCACTCTCAGAAGACATGCAATTTCATGCGATTAGTCATCTAGAAATTCGATTCGTTTTCTCTGGCCATGCGAACTGTATAATTTGTTGATAATTTATGCTGGACAGTCGGAATAACAATCAATGTATTCAGCTGGCCAACAAGAAGCGGAAAGGTTCTCGGTCACGCAGCCATCAATATCCAGGCTTGGGGCGTTGGCAAATGTGACAGGCTAAATTACAGGACAGAATATTTTTGAATAAAGCAATTTGTATCTGTGCGCCAGTTACATCGGCTCTTGGGCGTCTGCGTTGGGCCCACATTCACGTTTATTTTGCAATAATGCCAATAATAACAATGGGCGCGCGTTTATTTGTTTGCCACTTGATAAATGAGAGGCTGGGCCAGCGAGCAGAGGGCAACGGCCTGTGGCCAGTGGAAGGCAAGGCTTCACTAATGACCCCAATACCATTGGCTGACCCTCCAGTCCGAGCACCCCGTTACCTATAACCCTTAGCCACCTGGTCCCCTTAGCCCCTTTAGCCCGTTTAGCCCCTTTAGCCCCTTTAGCCCTATGCCACAAAAGGTGTTAACTGTCCATGGTCGCATTTGTATTTGTATTACTTTTAGTCTTATTGTT